ACCACATAATTGGAAGTAAAGCACTGTTCAACAAATGCAAAACAACTGAAATCATAACAAACAGCCTCTCAGACCATAGTGCAATCAAGTTAGAACTCAGAATTCAGAAACAGACCCAGAACCGCACAGCTTCATGGAAACTGAACAACTGGCTCTTGAATGTTGACTGGGTAAACAACAAAATGAAGGCAGAAATAAAGAAGTTCTTTGAAACCAATGAGAACGAAGACACAACGTGCCAGAACCTCTGGGACACATTTAAAGCAGTCTCTAGAGGAAAGTATATAGCAATAAGTGCCCATATGAGGAGAATGGAGAGATCCAAAATTGACACCCTATCATCAAAATTGAAAGAGCTAGAGGACCAAGATCAAAAAAACTCAAAACCCAGCAGAAGACAAGAAATAACTAAGATCAGAGCTGAGCTGAAGGAGATTGAGACACGAAAAACCCTTCAAAAAATCAATAAATCCAAGAGCTGGTTTTTTGAAAAGATCAACAAAATAGACAGACCACTAGCCAGATTGATTAAAAAGAAAAGAGAGAACAACCAAATAGATGCAATAAAAAATGATAAAGGGGAAATCACCACAGATTCCACAGAAATTCAAACCATCATCAGAGAATATTACAAACAACCCTATGTGCATAAACTAGTAAACCTGGAAGACATGGACAAATTCCTGGATTCCTGTGTCCTCCCAAGCCTAAACCAGAAGGAAGCTGAAACTATGAATAGACCAATAACAAGGTCTGAAGTTGAGGCAGCAATTAAGAGCCTACCACACAAAAAAAGCCCAGGTCCAGACGGGTTCACAGCCGAATTCTACCAGACACACAATTAAGAGCTGGCACCATTTCTTCTAAAACTATTTCAAACAATCCAAAAAGAGGGAATCCTTCCCAAATTATTTTATGAGACCAACATCATTCTGATACCAAAACCTGGCAGAGACCCAACAAGAAAAGAAAACTTCAGGCCAATATCCATGATGAACATAGATGCAAAAATCTTCAATAAAATATTGGCAAGCCGATTGCAACAGCAAATCAAAAAACTTATTCATCATGATCAAGTAGGATTCATCCCGGGGATGCAAGGCTGGTTCAACATACGTAAGTCTATAAATGTAATTCATCACATAAACAGAACCAAAAACAAAAACCACATGATTATCTCAATTGACGCAGAGAAGGCATTTGACAAAATTCAACAGCCCTTTATGCTAAAAACCCTCAATAAACTCGGTATCGATGGAACGTATCTCAAAGTAATAAAAGCTATTTATGACAAACCAACAGCCAATATCATACTGAATGGGCAAAAACTGGAAGCATTCCCTTTGAAATCTGGCACTAGACAAGGATGCCCTCTTTCACCACTCCTATTCAATATAGTACTGGAAGTTCTAGCCAGAGCAATCAGGCAAGAAAAAGAAATAAAGGGTATTCAAATAGGAAAGGTGGAAGCCAAATTGTCTCTATTTGCAGACGACATGATAGTATACCTAGAAGACCCCATTGCCTCAGCCCAAAAACTCCTGAAACTGATAAGCAACTTCAGCAAAGTCTCAGGATATAAAATCAATGTGCAAAAATCACAAGCATTCGTCTACACCAATAACAGACTTAAACAAAGCCAAATCAAGAGCGAACTGCCATTCGCAATTGCTACAAAAAGAATAAAATACCTTGGAATACAACTCACAAGGAACGTAAGAGACCTCTTCAAGGAGAACTACAAACCACTGCTCAACGAAATCAGAGAGGACACAAACAGATGGAGAAACATTCCATGTTCATGGTTAGGAAGAATTAATATCGTGAAAATGGCTATACTGCCCAAAGTAATTTACAGAATCAACGCTATCCCCATCAAGCTACCATTGACTTTCTTCACAGAACTGGAAAAAACCACCATGAACTTCATATGGAACCAAAAGAGAGCCCGCATAGCCAAGTCAATTCTAAGCAAAAAGAACACAGCGGGGGGCATCACACTACCGGATTTCAAACTATACTACAAGGCTACAGTAATCAAAACAGCATGGTACTGGTACCAAAACAGAGATATAGACCAATGGAACAAAACAGAGGCACCGGAGGCAACACAACATACATACAACTATACAATCTTTGATAAACCTGACAAAAACAAGCAATGGGGCAAGGATTCCATGTTTAACAAATGGTGTTGAAAAAACTGGCTAGCCATGTGCAGAAAGCAGAAACTGGACCCCTTCCTGACACCTTACACTAAAATTAACTCCAGATGGATTAAAGACTTAAACATAAGACCTGGCACCATAAAAACCCTAGAAGAAAATCTAGGCAAAACTATCCAGGACATAGGAGTCGGCAAGGACTTCATGAACAAAACACTAAAAGCATTGGCAACAAAAGCCAAAATAGACAAATGGGACCTAATGAAACTCCACAGCTTCTGCACGGCAAAAGAAACAGTCACTAGAGTGGATCGGCAACCAACAGAATGGGAAAAAATTTTTGCAGTTTACCCATCTGACAAAGGGCTGATATCCAGAATTTACAAAGAACTCAAACAGATTTACAGGAAAAAAACAAACAAGCCCATTCAAAAGTGGGCAAAGGATATGAACAGATACTTTACGAAAGAAGACATATATGAGGTCAACAATCATATGAAAAACTGCTCATCGTCACTGATCATCAGAGAGATGCAAATCAAAACCACATTGAGATACCATCTCATGCCAGTTAGAATGGCGATCATTAAAAAATCTGGAGACAACAGATGCTGGAGAGGATGTGGAGAAAAAGGAACACTTTTACACTGTTGGTGGGAGTGTAAATTAGTTCAACCATTGTGGAAGACGGTGTGGCGATTCCTCAAGGCCTTAGAAATAGAAATTCCATTTGACCCAGCAATCCCATTACTGGGTATATATCCAAAAGACTATAAATCGTTCTACTATAAGGACACATGTACACGATGTTCATTGCAGCACTGTTTACAATAGCAAAGACCTGGAATCAACCCAAATGCCCATTGATAATAGACTGGATTGGAAAAATGTGGCACATATACACCATGGAATATTATGCAGCAATCAGAAATGATGAGTTAGTGTCGTTTGTAGGGACATGGATGAATCTGGAGAACATCATCCTCAGCAAACTGACACAAGAACAGAAAATGAAACACCGCATATTCTCACTCATAGGCGGGTGATGAAAAATGAGAACACATGGACACAGAAAGGGGAGTACTAAACATTGGGGTCTATTGGGGGGAAAAGGGGAGGGCCAGTGGGAGGGGGAGGTGGGGAGGGATAGCCTGGGGAGAAAAGCCAAATGTGGGTGAAGGGGAGAAGAAAAGAAAGCACATTGCCATGTGTGTACCTACGCAACTGTCTTGCATGCTCTGCTCATGTACCCCAAAACCTATAATCCAATTAAAAAAAAAATAAATAAAAATAAAAGTTATTTGTCCTTATATATTTGCAGTTTGTTCAGAATCATTTAAATCACAGCTTAAAAATATTATTCAAATAGTTTCCACATTTAAATTAGAACAACATACCATTGCTTAATATTCACCTATTATAACATGTTTTATACCTGGTGCATAGTTGATGCTAAGTTAGTATTTGCTGACTGAATGAATACATTCATCATTATTGATTAAAAGAGCATTAGTATAAGTACTAGAGGTAAAAGAGAAAATAAGACAAGCTCTCTGCCTCTCAGAAAATCTTCAGTCTGGTGGAAGAGAGTTACACTACCAATTAGTATAAAACAATGTGAAAAATGTGTTTTAAAATATATGAAGTGCTATGGGGGAAAAAAAGAAAGTAAATAATTATGTATGGAAAGCCATATGGGTTAGTAACATCTGAACTTGGAGAAGGACGCATTGGTGAGTAAGAAAGTGAAAAGCATTACTAACAGAAATACAAGCGATTTATAAGGAGCAATTCTCATAGGATGGTTGAATGTAGCGTTTTATAGACACAGGAAGAAGAGGCTAAAAAGGGAGGCTTGGATTAGGTTGTACAGATTTTGTATACAATCTTAAATTTGTATTTCATATAACAAGCTTATAATAGCAAACAGGTTTCATCTCACATACTAACTTTCATTAGTGGTAGCGGCTACCCAGAACATTTCTGTAGAGAATAATTCTAAGGCTGTGTCTGACTTTGGCAGGAAGGTACTAGAGGGTACTATAGTCTGCTATTTATTTAGAAGGTGGTAGGGAAAAATAGAAAACCAAATGAGGCATTTGAAGCTAAAAAGTATCATAAACATATTTTTATCCTTGGGAAAGAGAACACTGATGTCAATGTGGAAGACTAGAAAAGGATGGACTAAGAAAACTATGTCTTATTCAGATTAGAATATTCCTCTCTTTTCTACTAGTATAGCAATATCTGATGGATGTTAAATAATGCAGTCTGAAAAGTGAATGAAGTGAACAATCAAATAAGGGAGCTCATAAGTGAACTGTGCCATCACCAGGAACAGAGTTCTTGAGTTTTACTAGACAGATTTATTGACATTTTTTTTTGACTTCTCAGAAATTTTTCCTTCATTTCCTACCTATTCTGTCTATTCTGAAAAGATGAGGTTACCAGATAGATGAGTTCGAAAATGTAATGATTGAAAATGTATAAGGATAAAAATAGTAATTCTAAAGAACTATCACTTACACTGAATATATTTATAGGTAATCATACTGGATAGAAATGGCTTCATTAGTTCACTTACTCTGTCTTGCAACCCTAGAAAAAAGTATTCTATATGGGGATTAAGGAAGAAATAAAAAAATCTATTTTAGTAAAAAACAAGTTACCATAATTTTATTTGTAAGAACTATATCATCTTGACCAAATACTCTGCCGACGAAATGGCTAATTCTTTAAATAAACAAATACACATATAGGCATACCACAAGAGATTCTGTAAGATGAAAATAAATGCATTTGCAAATTTTATAAAGAATTTATATGTTGACTTGCCTCCATCTTGGGTAATAACTGGTAACGCCAAGCTATTTTCATCTTAATATTAGATTCTGGTGTTTTATGATTATATACATCTTCATCAAATTCCTTTTTACAATTATCAAGTAATGGTGCTGGAAGTTCCTAAGAAAACAGAAAGACATATGATTGAAATTCTGTGGAAAAATATGACAATTTTCTTAAATCATAATGTTAGCAACACTAAAAATTTTCCAATATATTAAAAATTGATGACTAAAATTGATTTAAGTACAAATTCATGAAAATACAGACGTCTGTAAAACAGAAAAAACAAGTATAAACCAAATGTTGTTTAATTTTTTAGCAATAAACTGGAATTTTAAAAAAATGTACAAATTTCTATACTTACAAAAATCAATTGCTAGTCTAACAAGAGGTTATTCTCATTTTTCAAAATGTATATGCTTAAAGCAAAGTCTGGAATTAGTACTTACGTATTATATATAATTGTTATGTTGGCCACAGGTAAAAATAAAACATGTGCACAATCTACTTACAGGTTTGTAATTTTAGAATTCAAAAAAGCTATTCACCAAAATAATGGGAGTAGTAACAACTAAGAATAAAGACATTTACTTCACCCACATGAAATGCTAGTTTTGTACCTGCAAGCGTATGTCTCTTATTTAACAAAAAAAATAGAATTAAAAATCTTTGATTAAATGAAGAAATAATAAATTTCAATTTATTAATTTTGGAAGGTGATGGCCAACTTTGCAACTATAAAAAAAATAGAAAACTAGAAAACATTTTTGTTAAGCAGTACTATAGAAATAATTCAAAGAAAACAGTATTTAAGTTTACTGAAGAAGAAAAGCACATACAATAATTTTGTTTTATAGTCCATTAAAATCATAAAGATAATGTGGGATACTGTATTAGTAAATATGATCTGTGCTATGTTATATGTTACTCTAAATTGCAGCTTCTACTTTTCAAGATCAAATTTACTTATGCTTAGAATTATGTCAACAAATCAGCTTAAATACATTAACTGTTAATATGACATATTTTACTCACCTCCTGAAAACCTCAAAGTGAATTCACATGATAATTAATGCCAGTATTAGAAACTAGTTATATCATTTAAGCTGTGAATTCATCATTCCTAGCTAAACATTAGTATCTTATGATATAAAGTAACTTCTTTTTCCAATGTAAATACATTTTTGTGAGGGAGTACAGTGTAATAGAGTATAGTGGTTATGAGTTTAAATTCGGCAACTAGAATGTCTGGTTCAAATCTTGACCTTGCACTAGTAGCTGTGTCTGTGTTACCACAGGACCTCTATATGTCTCCATTCATCATCTAAAAAATGGAGGTAATAGTAGTCACTTCCGCTTGCAAGCAGTGGCTCATGCCTATAATCCTAGCACTTTGGAAGGCCAAGGTGGGTGGATCACTTGAGTTCCGGAGTTTGAGACCAGTTCGGGCAATATGACAAAACCCCACCTCTACAAAAAAATTAGCTGGGTGTGGTGGCATGTGCCTGTAGAGTCAGCCACTTGGGGAGCTGGGATGGGAGGACTGTTTGAGCCCAGGAGGTTACGGCTACAGTCACCCAAGATCATGCCACCACACTCCAGCCTGGGTGACAAAGTGAAACCTTGTCTCAACAACAACAACAACAACAACGTATTCACTTCAGTGGGTTGTAAGCAGTAAATAAGTTAAAAATGGCCAAGATGGCCGATCCCTAACATCCCAGGATTGCAGCTCTCAGGGAAGGCGCGGAGAACTAGAGGACGCCACACTTTTAGACAAATTCTGGTCGCTCACGGAGCAGAAGATCCCCCAGTGGAGGAAACACACGGGTGGCCAGCGCGACTCTCGTGGCCGGTGCAGCGGTTCCGCTGGCACCTCGGCGTGGCAGCTCTCGGAACAGAGTAAACAGGTTTGGAGGACCCACACGGGTCCCCAGCACAACACCAGAGCCCGGCGCAGCGGCTGTGATGGCACCTCGGTGCAGCAGCGCTCCGCGCAAAGTAAATGGGACCGGTTCCCCTTCTGACCAAGGTTTGGAGCCCCGGGAAGGCAGAGTCGCCTACTACAGACACAAAAAGGAAGCCAGACAGAAGAATCCTGGGAAGAAAAGCACCATCACTTATAACGCCGCTGCTCTGGCCCTGGGAACTAACAACTTGGACGCCCACTCAAGAGACCAAATCTGAAAGTTGGTAAATTCAAAGATGACAGGAGGATACATTTACAATGACGGGAAGAAACCAGCGTAAAAAAGCTGAGAATACTCAAAGTCAGAACGCCTCTCCTTCTAAAGATGATCACAGTTCCACATCAACAATGGAACAAGGCTTGATGGAGAACAAGCGCATCCGGATGACAGAATCACTCTTCAAGGAATGGATAATAACAAACTTCAGTGAGTTAAAAGAACATGTAGCCCAACGTAAAGAAACTAGGAACTTTGAAAAAAGGTTTGATGAAATCTTATTGAGAATAGACAACTTAGAGAGGAGTATGAGTGAATTAATGGAACTGAAGAATACAATACAGGAACTCCGAGAAGTATGCACAGGTTTAAACACTCGAATTGTTCAAGCAGAAGAAGGGATATCAGAGGTCAAAGTCCAACTTAATGAAATAAAACGTGAAGAAAAGATTAGAGAAAAAAGGATAAAAAGGAATGAGCAAAGTCTCCAAGAAATGTGGGACTATGTGAAAAGACCAAATTTACGTTTGATAGGTGTACCTGAATGCGACGGAGAGAATGAATCCAAGCTGGAAAATACCCTTCAGGATATTATTCAGGAAAATTTTCCTGAACTAGCAAAGCAGGTCAACATTCAACCCCAGGTAATACAGAGAACACCACAAAGATATTCCTCAAAAAGAGCAACCTCAAGGCACATAATCATTAGATTCACCAGGGTTGAAACGAAGGAGAAAATACTAAGGGCAGCCAGAGAGAAAGGTCAGGTTACCCACAAAGGCAAGCCTATCAGACTTACAGCAGATCTCTCAGCAGAAACTCTACAAGCCAGAAGAGAGTGGGGGCCAATATTCAACATCCTCAAAGAACAGAACCTTCAGCCCAGAATTTCATATCCAGCCAAACTAAGCTTCACAACTGAAGGAAAAATAAAATCTTTTATGAACAAGCAAGAACTCAGAGATTTTATTACCACCTGGCCTGCTTTACAAGAGCTTCTGAAAGAAGCATTACACACAGAAAGAAACAACCAGTATTAGCCTTTCTAAAAATACACCAAAAAGTAAAGAGCACCAACATAAAGAATTTACACCAACGAATGGATAAAACAGCCAGTCAACATCAAATGGCAGTAACCCTAAATTTAAATGGACTAAATCCCCCAATCAAAAGACACAGCCAAAACCCAATGACATGTTACATCCAGACCTGTTTCACATGTAAGGATACACAAAGACTCAAAACAAAGGGATGGAGAAAGATTTACCAACCAAATGGAGAGCAAAAATAAATAAAAAATAAATAAAAAGCAGGAGTTGCAATTCTCGTATCAGATAAAATAGACTTTAAAGCAACAAAGATATAGTGGCAAAAGGATCAATGCAACAACAAGAGCTAACGATCTTAACACCCAGATACATAAAGACTTAGACTCAATGAGACAGAAAATTAATAAGGATATCAAGGACTCAAACTCAGATCTGGAACAAGTAAACTTAATAAATAATTATAGAGCTCTCCACTTCAAATACATAAAATATATATTCTTGTTAATACCACATCACACCTACCCATAAGTTTAAATGAAACATTGATTGGCCATTATTAATACCCAATCTTTTTCAGAATAAAGCAATATTTCTGTTTACTCTCCTTCTTTATCCTTCTCCTTTACTTTTTTTTTTCTTTCCTTCTCTCAAAAAAAAGAAATCAACTTGTAAACCTCTAGATCCAGGTCGGCAATGTCTCTCTCATTGCTTGATTTCCTTCCTTCCCTTCCCTCCCTCCCTCCCTCCCCCCTTCCTCCCTTCCTTCCTTCCTTCATCTCTTCCTTCCTCCCTACTGTCCTCCTTCCCTCCCTTCCTGCCTTCCTCCCCCCACCAAAAAAAGTTAAAAATGTAAAATTCAGAGAATGATGTTTGCTACATATCATGAATCCTACAGATGTTAGATTGTGAGAAGTCAGTCAAACAATTGTCCTCAGAGCCACACATTTTGTATTGTCAATATTGGGCAATAAATTTAGTATAAAGTATTTGGATTAACATCTTTTTGAACCCCAGGGACACTTGGCAATAGTTATGACAATGATTAGTCAAAATTCAATTAAAAAAATTTGAAAAATAAAATTTATATCACACTGTCCTCCTATTGTGGAAAATAGGCTGATTCTAACATTCGCTCTTACAGTAGTGTGTACAGTATTAAAGAAACAACCATAAAATATTAAAGACTCATTAATATATTTAACTTATCTAAACAGGATGAGATTATAAAATATAGGTAATCATTTCCTCATTTATCTTATTAAGTAAATATGTATCTATTCCCATAAGCGATGTTTCGCCATGCTAAAAACTTTGTATGTATCACGAAAATTATGATTCCAAGTTTAATACTGATAAGACACTCATTTTCTTAAAGATGAAAATGTTCAAAGATGTGCAGAAAATACGCTTAATCACTTAAAGCCCATGTAAAGGTTATGTTTTTTTATATACACACATACATAGTTTGTTGTTTGTTTTATTTTGTTTTTGATACAGGGTCTTGCTCTGTGGCCCAGTCGGCAGTGGCATGATCATGGTTCACTGCAACCTCAGCTTCCTGGGCTCAAGTGATCCTTACACACTCAAGTAATCCTCCCAGCTCAGTCTCCTGAGCAGATGGTACTACAGTCACATGCCACCATGCTTGGCTAACTTCTGTATATTTTGTAGACACTGGATTTCACCATGTTGCCCAGGCTGGTCTTGAACTTCTGAGCCCAAGCAATCTGTCAGCCATGGCCTCCCAAAGTGCTGGGATTACAGGTGTGAGCCACCACCTCCAACCCTTTATATATTTTTTAAAGTGCCATAAAATTCACATAACATGAAAACATTTTAAGTATAAAATTTGGTAATTTTTAGTAATGCAGAGTTGTGTAAC